TCCCTAGTAGGAACGCTTGTTTGCATCATGTGCACTTGACTTAGGGGACTCAACACAGGGGTTAGGTCCGTCTAGGACAGATATACCCCAAAAAATCAAAGACCATCTTGTTGCATCTTATGTGCTACATGTTGCATTTATTCAAGGGTAAAAAGGTCATTTGGCGGACCAATGATAGCTGAGGGTAAATGAAGAAATGAAAAAAACAATGGAAAAAGAAAGAAGAAATTAAAAAAAAAAAAAAAAAAAGAGGGTGAAGTGTGAAAAATAAAGCAAGTAGGGCTCGATCATGTTTTCTCTCACATTTTTGTTAAGAAAAAAAGCATGAAAAATTCAAAAAAAAAATTGCACTTTTTCATCATTTTCCGAAAATCAAGAAATCAAAAAAAAAAGAGGAAAAGAAAATTCAAAAAAAGAGTTTACATGTTTCATCATTTTTCAAAAAAAAAAATATTTTTTTTAAATTAGTTTTTTTAAAATATCCAAATTGTCCGAACTACGCATACCTGATTCTCATCTCCCGGGGCGGGATACGTAGGCAACCCACATAGGATCCGGTCTTCCTAGTAAGTCTTAGGTTCTTGGCTTCGCGGGGTCTTAGCCAATCTTGCATTTTTATCCACTTTTAGCCGCATAGGTTAATTTTGCAGAAATAGCTTCAATCATGTCTGACATGTGTCTAGTAAGGAATGTTATTGTCTTACATAGTGTTGGTTTCAGTTTTCTCATACAGGTGTGGATTTACTTACTGGAGTTTGGGCATGACAGATACCCCAGGATTACTGCATTCAGAAGTTGCTCGAGGAGTCATTTTATATTTTTGAGTCAATTGTTCATGTTTTACTTTCTAGTCATGTATAGTAGTATTTGATATTTTAGGTGATGTTAGAGTTTGTAATAGTCTAGTTAAGTTTGCCTAGTCTTTTGTTATTGTATTCCTTATTTTGGTATTTGGAAATGTGTTACAAGTCAAAAGAAAAAAGAAAAAAGAAAACAAAAAAAAAGAAATTTTGCGTTTTTATATTTTCGTTATAAGTTTTCTTTAGAATACTAATTCTATGAATAAAAAAAATTCCCTTGAGGTTGTTTTTCCTTTAGGCAATTAATATCAAAATAAAAATTATTTTTATATTCCCTTTAGTATATTAAGACTAAAAAATTCAAAAAAAAGAGAAGAGAATTTTCTCTTAATACCTTTTCAAAAGTTTTGTTTAAGGCATTAATTCCAAAATCCAAAAAGATTTCTTGTGAGGTGTTTCTTTGGGAAATTAATGAAAGATGAAAAAAAAAATCTTTTTATTTTCATTAGAACTTTAGGATATTGTACATAGAAAAAAATATACTTTATCTTTTGTTTATCATTAGAATTTTTCCTTTAGGCAATCAAAATTAAAATCCAAAAATATTATATTTTATCTTTTTCATTGTTTGCTTCGAAATCTTGCGTCAAGATATCAAATGAAGATTCAAAATGTTTTTCTGTGGTTTATTCCTTAGATTTCTTTCATAAAAAAAAAAAGAATCAAAAAATATTTTTTTTTCTTTTAGGGTTTTTCCTTGATAATTTCTCATAGAGTATCTGTTTCCTTGATAATCAAAAAGAAGAAGAAGAAAATGAAAAAGAAAACGTTAGTTCATGTGCTTTACTCTCGATCTTCCAGAACTACGCAAAGATCTGATTCATGCGGCATCATGATACGTAGGCAATCTACATAGGGTTCGATCGAATCATTTTTTTTATTATTTAAAAGAAAAGAAAAAAAAAAGAGAAAAGATGGTGAAATTAGGGGAGGTGAGAATTGAGAAGGAAGAAAAGAGCGACAATCAGAAAGAAAAGGGGAAAGAAAGTGAGCGAGCTAAAAAGTGCGAGGAAAGAAAAGAAAAGAGAAGATCCAAATGGACAGATTGGGATGATGCCAAGTGACCTTATGACCCTCGAAGTCATTCTAGAACCATTAATTGTTGTTAGGTGCATTGCACGCAATGTGATATTTTTGTTGTTAAATGCCGTAACGCTAACGGGATGACCCCATTTTGTTCATTTTGATATCTTCATAGCAAAAAGGTGGTTGGTTTGTGGTTCTCGAAGTAGTAACTCCTCTCCACAACATAAAGTTAAAAGGCAATGGCAGACAACAACAAAACTGAGTTGGTTGATACAGGCGCCCAAAAGCAATTGGTTGAACATGACAATGGGTTAACTGAAGAGGTAAAGATGTTGAGACAACACATGTCGGACATGTATTAGGCTTGGATGACTGGGAAGGCACCACCTCCGCCACCACCTAGCTTCTTAGATGTCGCCCTTACCCAAGCTTCGAACACAATGCCAGATGATCCTCCATACTCTCCAGATCTACCCGCTTATCACAGCTTTCCCAACCGTCGCAGTAGCTCCATCACTCATCCTCCAATTGCCTCTCCCTAAAATCGCCCTCCTGTCACATCCACTATCCCCGATAATGAATACTCACTCAAAGCTCATGATGCCCAATATTACCCCTCAGAGGTTGCCCACAAGGTTTTCTACTCATACAAACAGGGCCCGCGGGACGAGCCTCATGTTGAAAATAAAAGATTCAAAAGAAGAGAAGGGAAAAATGGGATACCCAGGAGGCTGAAAGGCATAGAACAATCTTTGAAGAACAAGCAAGGAAGGGGAGACCATGGAAGTATGGCTCATAAAGAACTGCCTGTGTCCCCCTGACGTTCGTCTGTCGGCGGGGTTTCGAGTGTCAAGTTTAACTTGTACGATGGGTGTGGAGATCTGGTAGCCCATTTGAGGGATTATTGCAGTAAAATGAGAATTGTTGGAGAGAAAGATGACTTGATGATGGCATATTTCAGTGAGAGCCTGACTGGGGAAGCTTTGGACTGGCATACTCATCAAGATATTGGTTAGTGGCCCACATTGGGTGACATGGCTCGAGATTTTGTTCGATACTTTCAATACAGATCAGGTGTTACCCTAGACCACTTCTCCCTATCTAAAATGGAAAAGAAGCCAGAGGAAAGCTTTAGAGAGTTTGGGCTCAGATGGAGGGAACAGGCTGCTCGAGTCAATACCTCGATTGGTGAAAAAGAAATGGTTGAGCTTTTCCTACAAGCCCAGGGGCCCACCTACTTCAGTCATTTGATCCCGGCCTTGGGAAGGCCTTTCAAAGATGTCTTAAAAATTGGGTAGCTAGTAGATGAGGGAATCAAGTCAGGCAAAATCTTGAGTTGTTCGAAAAATATTCAGAACACCCCAGTAAGCTTGGGTGGAAGAAAGAGAAACAGAAAAGATGATCCGATGGTCTTTCCCGATCAACACTTCCAGCCTCGACATCATCCCCGTGGATATCCTTATGCGCCAGATGATCCTTCCCAATGCCACTTCTCTCCACGGAACTCCCAAAATCGTACATCACTTTCCCAGTACCCAGCTCTACAAAATGCCTATCCACCCCCACGAGCCTACCGAAAACCCCCTGGATCAGGTTTCTGGCCCAATCAAGTATTTAAGAATGAAAGGTTGCTAGAAAGAAAAGGCTTTCACCCCTATTGGAGAATCATATGCCAGTTTGTTCCAAAAGTTGAAGCAATTGGACATGTTGAAGCCGATTCATATAAAAATGTCAAACCCTCTATCAAAGAAGTTTGATTTTTCTCAAAGGTGTGCATATTGCTCAGATGACCCGAGGCATGACATAGAGAAGTGTTGGAATCTGAAGAAAGCAATTCAGAAGCTTATTGATGCATGTCACATTTTCGTGCAAAATCTAGATGCGACAAACACTAGCCAAAGCCTATCGCCTGTTCGTAGTGAGACGCATATGGCGAGTATGATTTGTTTTGAAAAGGAATATGAGAATTCTTCTGAGATCCTCAAAAGTCCACGCGTTACAAAGTTTTCAGTGCTATCAGTGGTTGATCTTAAGAACGAGCCAGCAAAGGGAACCCAAAAGCAATTTGTTAAGAACAATGTGATGGAAATTTGTGAAGGTCCTAGTAATGTTGATGCGGAATTCAGTGGCTAAGATGCCGAGCTTGGCAATTTTAAAGATGCTCCTTTCTTGGTTAGCCAGGGAGGAGTTTTGGTGGTTTAGTTTGTTGTCATTTCTGTTGTCCGGGTTATTGCAGGGTTGTAATCTGGATATCGTCTTGTGACTGAAATCCTTCTATCCTTTTATTTTGTCTAGTTCCTTTAGTCGTATTATCTCACTTAGTGTTTTCTAGGTTTGTTCTAGGTTTGTAACCCCGGTCTAGTTTGTCTATTTTGTTGTCCAAACTCTTTCACCATCTGTCTAATGCAATTTTCTATTTTCAGTTATTTCTAGTCATTTTTGTTTAGTTCTCTTTTCCTTTTATAGTCCTTTTGATGTTGACTCTAATGACATGACATGCACACGTAATTCTCAGCCTGGTTTTAAAAGTCAATTTAGTCACGAAGCAATGAAACAATGTTGAAGATGTAGGGACATTTGAGGGAAATAAGTGAAGGCATTTTGAGATCACTTCAAACCCGAGTTGTGTGAAACTGGGGCAGATAGAACATAAAAATACACTATTGAAATGCATCATGCTGCATCGGGTGAAGCTAAAGGCAAGTTTGCCCCAAATTGGCAGGGGCCATTCGTGGTAACGAGAGTGTTGCCCAATGGTGCTTTGTGTTTAACAGATGACAAATGTGTGCATATGGTTATCCATTCTAATGCAGTCAAAAGATATTGTGTAAGATTCCTTTAGTTTGTTTAATTGTGTTTATTTGTACTTGGCATATTTTGAAGATTGGAATGACGAATTTATTTTGTTCTGCTATCTAAACACCTTATCCTTCGTTACCCCTTTGAGCCTTGTTTATTTTCATTCATACCCCTCTTTTGAAATCAGTATTAAAGATGAGAAACACAAGCGTGAAAGATAAGTAAAGGAAAAAGAGAAAAGAAAATAACGAAAAGGGAGAGAAGAAAAAATGAAAATCGAAAAAAAAAAAGGGGAAAAAAAGAGGAAAAAGAAAGAAGAAAAAAAAACAACAAAACAACAAAAAGAGAAAAGGGAAGAAAGAAAAGAAAAGAGAAAGAGAAAGGAAAAATCACAACAAGAGAGCAATTCCTATGACATGAACTACGTTCGACCTGATTCCTTTTAAGGATACGTAGGCAGCCTCACGGTTCAGTCTCATCAAAATAAAAATTCAAAAGTCCCCAAGCAAGAAACTGGGGCAGAAGTTGTGGTTGTTGTAAGAAATCTGATTCTGAAAGTTGTAATTTTGAACCCATGTGAATTGTTTTGAGCCTTTGATATCCTTTATTTTTAACCCTATCCAAAATCCCACATTATGGTCCAAAGAAAGACCTTCCGATCAGTCTTCGAGAGATGCCAAGCAAGGAGAGGTAATTCATATCAGGGGCAACACTCTGGTCCAAGCAGAAAAATAATGAAAATGAGAGTCTTATTGGTGAAAACCCTCACGGGCACCGTAAGGCGAAAGTAAGTTGAGAGAAAGAACAAATGAGAGAGGCTTGATGGTGAAAACTCTTCGAGCACCACAAATCGAATAAGGATTGTGAATCAGATTGGATAATCGGAACATAGAAGCCCATTTTCATGGTTTAGAGGTATAACAGGAGTTGAACATCAGACTTGCTCAACAGAATAGGCCACAGGTGCATGGCATGGTCATTATAGTTGGTATCCACATCTGATAGGTTTCTGCTTTGTAGTTTTCTTGTTAGGAATCACCTCTTTCCTTTGTCCTTTACTCTGTTCCTTTTGTCTTGTTTACTTCCTCTTCCTGAGTCTGTTTGGTCAAAATAAGTGAGAAATGACTTCAAAATTTGCCACCAGCTTACCAATTGCACAAAACGGGATCTAGCCAGCACATCAGTGTCATAAGTCAGGAAAGAATAACAAGCGCATTGAGTTGGTAACAATCAATATGCTTTGGGGTCCATGAGAAATACAAAGGTTTGGTATATTTCAATTCATGTACAGTGAAACAGATAGAGGATGTTGGGTGAACGGGTCAAAGGTATTCTCTGTGATGAGATCAACAAAGAAAGTGTTTAACCAGTGACAAGCAAGGTATTCCAAGCAGAAATCAAAGTTATCGTGACAAGTGAGGGAACAATAAACTTCAAGGCCAAGGCCAGTGATTTAAGTCAGGAAGGAACAACATGCACACTAAGTGGATGGCAATTAACGTGCTTTGGAATTCATGTCAACACAAGAGCACGATGCAACAGATGGAGGGTGTTCGGTGGACGGATCAAAGGTACTTTCGGTGAAACACAAAGGTAGGTAAATGTCAGTTCATGAAGCAATGCAACAGATAAAAGGTATTGGGTCTGAACGGAGAAGAGGTATTTTCTGTGATAAGGATGACAAAGAAAGTGGTTAGCAAGGTCTCCGGTTGGAAGTCAAAGTTATCATGGGAAGTGGAGGAGCAATCTCCCTCAAAGTCAAGGCCACAAACCAACCACCGCATTTTAAACTGGCAAGATTTTTCTTTGATTGAAACAGGGGCAGGAAATTTCGGTTGTTTCGGGGAAACCCTCCGTGGTGAAAGGCGATCACCACACAGGTTTGATTTTTGATTTTTCAGGACCCTCCTGGAAAATGGGACCTAGTTTAAAGTTCAGAAATAGCATAATCTAGCATAAATGTATCCTAAAGGAATATAAGTTGGCTTAGAAGTTTGCATGTTCGAGATATGATTCAATTAGGAATTTCCAAGACCCTCCTGAATAATGGGACTTAGCTTTAAGATTTCGATTAGATAACAACATTTAGCGTAAATTCTGTTGTAGGATAGTATAATCCAGCCATAAAAGCTGTCACTCTTAAGATAAATTTGACCTTTGAGCTTCAGGACCCTCCTGGATAATGGGGAGTAGTTTAAAGGCCCTCTTAGATAACAAGATTTAGCAAAATTCGCACCTTTAGAAGATATAACTTAGATTTAAAATTGTCGTTTAGGTAAGAATTGTCAGGACCCCCTGGATAATGGGACCTAGCTTTCAAATTCTTAGTAATACTTGGTAATATGATTAGTTTTACACTCACATCTGTGCCCAGCCACCAAACTGGGGCAGGAAATTTTTCTTTGTTTTTGTCTATCTTGTTGAAGTCAGGAGCCCGCCTGGAGAGCAGGGAATACACTTCAAGTCAGTAGTCAGGAGCCTGCCTGGAGAGCAGGGAATATATTTCAAGTTAGCAGTCAAGAGCCCGCCTGGAGAGCAGGGAATACATTTCAAGTTAGAAATCAGGTGCCTGCCTGGAGAGCAGGGAATACATTTCAAGTTAGAAATCAGGTGCCTGCCTCGAGAGCAGGGAATACATTTCAAGTTAGAAATCAGGAGCCCGCCTGGAGAGCAGGGAATACATTTCAAGTTAGAAATCAGGAGCCCGCCTGGAGAGCAGGGAATACATTTCAAGTTAGAAGTCAGGAGCCCGCCTGAAGAACAAGGGAGTACAATTCAAGTTTTAGTTTTCAAGTCCTTATTGATATTTGGTAATGTGATCCGTTTTACACTTAAATGTGTGCCCAGATACCCAAAAGGGGGCAGAAAGTTTTCTTTGTTTTTGTCTATTTTGTTGAAGTGAGGAGCCCGCCTGGAGAGCAGGGAATACATTTCAAGTTCAGCAATCAGGAGCCCATCTGGAGAGCAAGGGAATATAGTTCGAGTTTAACAATCAGACGTCCACCTGAAGAAAAGGAAAAACATCTCAGATTTCAATTCAAGTCAGCAACAAAAGAAGCTCACGGCAAGAATGCGAGTTAGCAGTCTGAGGTGATCAACAGAAATTAGTCACAATAAAGAAAAAAGAGAAAGGCAAGAAGTTAATCCAAATGCAGAAGTTTATGAAAGATGTGGGCTGCTCTAGACATTGCCGAGGTCACAAGCATTACATGTCCGATCTTGATCCGAAAATCTGAAGAAGAACGAGCTAGCACCTGCAACTAGCAAGGGTCAAGGTTCAAATCCAAAGTCTGCATGAAGAACCATTCAAGACTCAAGATCAAACTTCAGAAGACTTATAGATAGGAATCTTGTAACTCGTAGTTGACAGGTTTAGTTAGTCTTTTTCATTTGATTTCGATGTAATAACAGGAAACGCGGACCGGAACCTCGGCGGAACGGCACCTCGACCGACTCTCCACCTCGGTACTTCATCATCTCATTCACTTCTGAACTACACGTGGCCTGATTCGTTTACAGCCAAGGATATGTAGGCAGCTCAAATACCAGAGCTCGGCCACATTCCCCTCTCTCTTAGTTTTAGTCTCTTCAAATAAGGGTCGGGTCAAAAAACCTGTCTAGTCGTTCTTTGTCTGAAAATACTTCGTCTTTCCAGTCAAAGAGGGGCAGCTGCAGACATGTGATTTTTGACCCTCCCCAATATTTTTCATATTTTAGCACGTAAATATTTAATTTAGGCCCAATATAGCTATTTCAACTCATTTTTACCCTTTTACTTTATTTTACTATAAGAAAATGAAAATTACAACAAAACTATTTTTATTTTATGTACCTTTCATAAAGTAAAAGATATACAAAAAATAGTACCTTAATTTTATCTTTATATAATCTTGAAAAATACAAAAAATATGTAATAGTTTCATGTTTTAATATAGTTTAGTTTAATTAATTAGAATTTATTTCTGCATCGTGTAGTATAGTTATCTTATATTAAGGGAATTTAGCTATGATTTTAATTAATAATTTTTGGAGTCTACTTAGCCCAAAATTGAAACACAAAAAAAAAAAAGACATGGTCCAACCCAATTACCCTTGGCCCATTCTTCCCAACCCATTAGCCCATTTAAGTACAAGATTTAATCCTAGCCTTCTATTTTCTTCCAATCTAATGGCCATCATCCTTTCCCACTTCCATATAAAATACCTAATTATAGAAACCATACTCTAACTTTTTCAATTCCTACAACTCTAAAGCAACAAAAACAGTACGAAAAGGTAATAACTGCAGGAGTGTTGTCAGCGATTAGTGACAGTGGCTCAGAAGATCACTGGCATTCAAAATCTTCAAGTCAGACGTCTTCTCCTCAAAGTACTTTTGGCGTTGTTATATTGGACCATTTAGACATTTTCTTCACTTAACTAGCATTGCACTGTGTAACGAAAGCATTGCACTATGTATAATGGCATTTTCGATCGTCTGCCATTTTCAAGGATCTAATCTGACCAAAAATTTTAGTTAGTCGATTTGGGTCTCGGGCGTGCCGATGTCAATTCGAGGTTCCGGTTCACAATTTTAGTTTATCAATTCGAGGTTTCGGTCCAAGGACTGTTGCTTTATTTAGCCCGATTGATTTGCAATTTTCAACGTTGTTCACCAATAAAAGATTCATTTCTCAATTTTCATTCTTATTTCATTGTGTTATGATAGCTTGGTACGTGTGTTGGTTGATTTGTGATTCTACGTTGTTTGAGTAGTATGCTTTAGTTTTCATTTAAATTATTTTAATTAGTTTTTATTTCGATTGTGATATATGTAGTTTTGGTTCTTGATTATATGCTTTTAATTGCGTAGATAGAAAAATTGAAGTTGTTTCTTTCTTGACAAGGAATAAGAATGGGCCATAAGGCGGGTTTGGACCATAAGGAATCTAGCCAAGTAATGATCATGTTAGCTAGCCTATTTGCTCCAATAATATCTTGTTCATAAATTTGGCCTCGCAACAATCTTAAAGATTAGGAAGATAATTAAAATGCGTAGTTGCTTTAGGCGCGCTATTTAATAATTTACCTTCCTAAACTCGGGTGCGCATTTATGTAACCCATCCAAATCTCAACAACGTTGGATAAAATGTGTCGGGGACCGCAGGTGCATTTATGTGACGTCGTTCGAGACGTATTTTAAAAACGTTGCAATCTTCTTAAAAATGAATAAAAGCGGTTAAGGTTGAAAAATGCACATAGGTTTGAACATGTACTAAAATCAGCTAATTAAGCCGAATATAACGGTTGAGCGACCGTGCTAGAACCGCGGAATTCGGGAATGCCTAACACCTTCTCCCGGGTTAACAGAATTCCTTACTCGGATTTCTGGTTCGCGGACTATAATACAGAGTCATTCTTTCCTCGATTCGGGATTTGAACCGGTGACTTGGGACACCATAAATTATCCCAAGTGGCGACTCTGAATTTTTAATAAATTAATCCCGTTTTGATTGTCACTTTAAGTTGGAAAAAACTCCCTTATATACCCTTTATGGGGATGTAGTGAAAAGGGAGGTGTGACACTAGCAAATCAGCAGCAGTCTTATCAACAACCTCCACAGCAACAGATTGTGAGACATGAAGATGGGTTTGCTAAACTCGAGGGTATGATGCAACAAGTGATTGGGTTCACTGGAAAGCTAGTTGACAGAGTATACTCACATGAGTCAGCGAATAAAAATATTAAGATCCAGCTAGGACAGATTTCCATGGCCCTAAATAATTGTCCTCATGGGACGTTACATGCAGACACCCAAATCAATTCGAAAGAGCAGGGCTCGAAGCAGCTAATGGTAGTGAGTCTCTGAAATGGTAGGGACTTAGATCTAGAGCAAGAAATTGCTCGCGAAAGTAGGCCGACTGAGACACTGGTGCCATTACCCATTGAGATAGATGATTCAGTAGGTTTAACTGAGGTGACTGTACATAATGCTCAAGAAAACACCAACAAGGAAGATGTGGTTGAGAAAGAGATTAAAGCTGTACCAGAACCGATAGTAGAAGCAGTGTCTGAACAAGAGAAAAATCAAATTACAGGGAAGAAGCGACCTCCAGCACCATTCCCACAACGATGGGTTAAGTATAAAAAAGATGAGCAGTACAAGAAATTCTTGGAGATCTTGTGGCAGATTCAGGTAAACATTCCATTGATTGATGATTTAAAGGAAATGCCTGGGTATGTAAAGATGATGAAAGACTTGATGTCCCGCAAGTTCGACTTCTAAGACTTGGCCACGGTTACACTGACTCAGACTTGCATTGTTGTTGTGACGAGACCCATAGCTGAGAAGTTGTCTGGCCCAGGGAGTTTCACAATCCCTTGCACAACAGGCAACTTTGCATTTGCTAAGGTACTATGTGATTTGGGAGCAAGCATAAACCTTATGCCCCTAGCTATCTATAAAAGGCTAGGCATTGGAAGAGCTAGACCCATGTCTATGCTACTACAGATACCTGACCAAACTATGAAAAGGCCCTCCAGGATTCTAGATGATGTATTGGTGCAGGTTGGGAAGTTTGTGTTTCCAGCAGATTTTGTCATCCTTGATTGTCGGGTTGACGAGGAAATTCCCATAATTTTGGGAAGACCATTCTTGGCCACTGGGAGAGCTCTAATTGATTGTGAAACTAGAGAACTCAAAATGAGATTAAACGATGAAGAGATAACATTTAACGTGCAGAAATCTATGCACAGACCCAGTGAATTTGCCAATTGCTCTCTAATAGATGTGGTGGATGTAGTGTTGGAGGAGGACGATGTAACATTGAACCTTAAAGACCCTCTAGCACATTGTCTTATGAACTTAGACGAAGCTAATGATAAATACTTGGCAGAGTGGGTACTTGTTCTTGAAGGCCAAGGTTTTTGGAAAAGGGAGCTTGAATTTGAGCCTTTGCACTTGGAGGTAGGGCTGGGCATATATCGGGTATAACCGACAGACCAAATCAAAAAAAGCTTATTGGGTATCGATATCGGGTTATTGGGTTAACGATTCGGTAATGGTTTAATATTTTTTCACTATTGGGTTATTGGCTCGGGCCTCAGTTTGCACAATTTCTTAATGGGTAAACCGATAACCCAATAAGAATTAGTACTATTTGGACAACTATTGAACTACTAGTACTCTTGTTGCTCTTGCTACAATTAGACTCTGAAAAAAGACAATGATCTCTTGATTATGGTTTGGCAGGAACCCAAAAAATTGTTATTTATGTTCCTGTTAACTTCTATTTCCAGCGAATTGGAGATGAAATGTTTGTGGAGTTGTAGTATCAATTTTTGAGATTGCACAAGTCTTGAATTTGTCAAAATGAAGCATGCTTCAAATATTAGCTGTGGCCAGAACACATAAATGGGTAGTATACTATATGTGAATTCTTCTCTTTAATTTTTTGCTTAACTCCAGTGAATTATTTCTTTTTTTGCTTAACCCTAGATTGAGTTATCTTATTGGGTAAATCGATAACCGAACCGATAATAGTCAATAACTGATCAACCGATAACTGATATCTTATCGGTTCGGTTATCGATTTATCATATTTGTAAACTGAAAATTGATATGCAAAACCGATAATATTCATAACTGAACTGAACTGACTGATGCTCACCCCTACTTGGAGGAAAGAAAAACTCCTCTAGCTAAGTCGTCAATAGAAGAGCCACCAAAGCTGGAACTGAAGCCATTGCCATCTCATCTCAGGTATGCATTCTTAGGACTTGACTCAACTCAACCTGTTATTATCTCATCCAGTTTGTTAGATGTGCAGGCAGAACAGCTTTTGCAGGTACTAACTGAGTGTGAGACTGCAATTGGGGTGGACTATTACAGATGTTAAGGGGATCAGCTCGGTCTTCTGTATGCATAAGATTCTGCTGGAAGATGGGCATAAACCTTCCAGAGAACATAAAAGAAGACCGAAACCCAACATGAAAGAAGTGGTGAAAAAGGAAGTGATTAAATGGTTAGATGCGACAATCATATTTTCCATCTCTGACAGCAACTGGGTTAGCCCAGTGCAATGTGTATCGAAAAAGGGAGGTATGACGGTAGTGAAAAATGAGAAGAAGGAGTTGATCTCTACACGAACAGTCACAGGATGGCGAATCTGTATGGACTACAGGAAGTTGAACTTGGCCATCAGGAAAGACCATTTCCCACTGCCATTCATTGATCAGATGCTAGATAGATTGGCAAGGAGGTCTCACTTTTGCTTTCTAGATGGGTACTCGGGGTATAATCAGATTTCCATTGCCCCAGAGGATAGAGAGAAAACGTCGTTCACTTACCTTTATGGAATCTATGCTTTTCGGCGAATGCCGTTTGGCCTATGCAATGCACCCGCCACATTCCAAAAGTGCATGATGGTCATCTTCATAGATATAGTAGATGAGATAATGGAGGTTTTCATGGATGACTTCTCAGTGGTGGGGAATTCATTCGATGATTGCCTTGTGAACTTGAGGCGAGTTTTGAAAAGGTGTATCGAGACTAATCTAGTACTCAATTAGGAAAAGTGTCATTTCATGGTATAAGAAGGTATAGTCTTGGGGCACCTAGTGTCAAGTAAAGGTATTAAGGTGGATCGTGCAAAAGTTGATGTGATAGAAAATCTTTCACTACCCATCTCACTCAAAGCAATCAGAAGTTTTCTTGGGCACGCCGGTTTCTATAGGAGATTTATTAAAAAAATCCAAAATTTCTAACCTTTTGTGTAAATTGCTTGAAAAAAATTACCCTTCTATGTTTTCTAATGATTGTAGGGTAGCTTTTGAGGAATTAAAGAAGAGACTGGTGACAGCATCTATCATAGATACCCCCAACTGGGAGCAATCATTTGAGCTGATGTGTGATGCTAGTGACTATGCTGTGGGAGCTGTGCTTGGGCAGTGAAAAGATAAAATCATGCATCCAATATACTACGCAAGTAGGATGTTGAGTGGAGCCCAGCAAAATTACACTGTGACCGAAAAGGAGATGCTGGCAGTGGTGTTTGCATTTGACAAGTTCAGGTCTTACCTGATAGGCTTAAAGATAATTGCTTATACTGACCATGCAGCTCTCAGGTACTTAATTGAAAAGAAAGAGTCAAAATTGCGTCTGATTTGATGGGTGCTACTGCTGCAATAATTTGATTTGGAGATCCGTGACCGAAAGGGAACGGAGAACCAAGTAGCTGACCATTTATCTAGGCTAGAAGGAGCTGAAAAGAAGGTTGAGGTAGAAGAGATTCTGGAAACTTTTCCAGATGAACAACTATTAACCACGAGTCTCGAGGAAGCGCCATGGTATGCAGACATTGCAAACTTCATGGCGAGCGGTATTGTTCCTTATGACCTTTCTTCGGTTCAAAAGAAAAAGTTCTTTCGTGATTGTCGCATGTATTATTGGGATGAACCTTATCAGTTCAGGATTTATGTTGATAACATGATCTGGAGATGCATCCCCGAGATAGACCAGTCTTCTATTTTGTAGGCTTGCCACGTGTCACCATATAGTGGGCACTTTGGGGGAGTGAGGACAGCTGCAAAAATCTTGGAGCCAGGGTTTTATTGGCCAACACTATTCAAAGATGCACATCTATAGATAAAGGGATGTGATGAATGCCAATGAACTAGGAACATTTCCCGCAGACATGAGATGCCCATAAACCTAATTCAGGAAGTAGAAGTGTTTGATGTATAGGGGATTGACTTCATGGAGCTGTTCGTCAGCTTATATGGCAACAAGTACATACTCATCGTTGTGGACTACGTGTCCAAATGGGTAGAAGCTGCAGCACTCCCTACAAATGATGCAAAGGGGTAATTGGTTTTCTGAGAAAGAATATTTTCACCCGATTTGGCACCCCAGGGGCAATAATCAGTGACAGAGGCACTCATTTTTGTAATCGAGCCTTTACAAAGTTATTGGAGAAGTATGATGTACACCACAAGGTGACCACCCCATATCATCCACAAATAAGCGGGCAAGTGGAAGTCTCAAGTAGAGAAATAAAGAGCGTGCTCACTAAAACTGTGAATGCAACTAGAACACATTGGGCAAGGAAGTTAGACGATGCACTGTGGGCGTATTGAGCTGCTTTCAAAACTCCAATTGGCATGTCGCCATACAAATAGGTGTTTGGGAAAGCATGTCATTTACCAGTAGAGTTGGAACATAGAGCTTGGTGGGCGTTGAGACAGTTGAATCTTGATAGTGAAGTAGCTGGAACAAGTAGAGTAACATAATTGCATGAGCTGGATGAGTTTAGATATCACGCTTTTGAGAGCACAAGATTATACAAGGAGAGAATGAAGATGATACATGATAAGAGTATTATTGAGCGGAATTTTAAACCTCGTGATACGGTATTGCTATACAACTCGCGTCTGAGGTTGTTTTCGGGCAAGTTGAAATCACGATGGTCAGGCCCTTTTCATGTGGTTGAAGTTTACCCCACAAGAGCAGTAGAGATTGCTGCGAGTAATGACTCTCGCACGTTTAGAGTCAATGGGCATAGACTAAAACATTATGTGGGCATGTAGGATGCAAAGGAAGTGTCAGTGACCCATTTGATCGAGCCTCCAAAGTTGAGAGTACCTTAAATGTGTTTATCTGCATCGTGCCGCGACGTTAGGTGCTTCATGTGAGGCAACCTATTGAATTGTTGTATTTGTCGTGCCATGACAGTAACTAAGGCTTTGGTTGGGAGGCAACCCAATGCATAGTGATTTTAGTATGGTTAGATCATACGCTGAAGGAATAGGTAAAAATTTGAGAAATCTCGAGGCCCAGGTGCGTGACCACGCTTAGACCATGCAAAACGCAAAGTATTCTACCTCAGGTTTTCTCCCAGGAGTGCGGCTGCACTCAAACCGCGTATGTGTCTAAGTATTCTGTTTTGCAAGCGTGGTCGCGCTTGGACAGCACTTGTACTGTTCCGCTTGCCACTTGAGTTTAAGCTATTTTTTGTTATTTATTTACTTTTTTCTTTTTTTAGTTGTTTTGTCCTTTTAATTGTAATATACTAACTTATCCCTTCCCCCTAACCTGATATCTCTCTCCCTCTTTTAATCTATTCATGCCTAAACCTAAGCCCTCACTCCGAAATCAAAACACCCAACTCCTATATTTCTTCCCAAAGAACCCCAACCCTCATACTCCTCATTCACGATCAAATCATACTCAATCCACTCTCTTCTCTCTTATAACAGTCTCTTCACCTACTTTAACCACATCTCTACCAGGTAAGATCCATTGTTTCAGTTCTTGTTAGGATAGCTAAGTTCTTGGTGATGTAGTAATTTTTCCTTTCTTTTATTTAGTAGATGTTTTTTGTAGTGTGCTCTTGTATGCTAGTAGGTTTGTTGAGGTTGTTGTATATGTAACTCTTGACATATGTTGGTGACATTGGGGCAATTGCGGTGGAGTTTGGCTTATAACTTTGTTAATTGGGGAATCCGGTGAATGGTGCATATAAAGTGTTTGTTAAAATGCCTCAGTGAGTTACTAATGTTAATTGTGACCAATTGTGCGGATGAAGTCTGAGTAACTGCCTTTGGTTCACATCTTTTGTGTTTCGCTGATGTTGTTCTTGATTTCAGGTACTATGGCACCTTCCAAGAAATGCCGAACCACCGGTGCTTTATCCAGTGGCCAAGATGGATCCTCCAGAGCATGCGCTTCAGCTCCCACTCTTCCTTATGACAGTAACAGGTTTGTCTCCACCGTAGTTCAAGACCATTTTGCTGCTAAGGAACCCAAGAAACCAATACCGGAGAGAGGCATGGATATAGGGTCATCCAATATGGTTGTCCCAACTTGTATAATGAGTTGGTCAGTCATGGGCTGGAAATTTTATTTGAAGAACCGGATGATGGAAATTTGATGGTTGTGCACGAAATTTACGCTAACGTTAAAGAACATGTGAATGGTGTGGTCATAGCATGCAAGAAGAATGTGGATGCCTCTATTGAGGCTATTCAGAGAGCATACCGACTGACCGCACCTGTAGCGGAGATGGAGGATTACTATGAAGCTTATGGCAGAAAGTACACTCAATGGGAGTTATTCTTTAAAACAATTTGTGTGCCTGACAAAGAGATTGCGTGGATGAAACATGGGCGTAAGTTTCATTCAGCGGCACTTACCTTTGAAGGGAAGTGTTATCTATATGTCATCAACAATCGTATGCTCCCGTCTTCCAATACTACGGAAGTGAATGCTCCTCGAGCTGCATTGATTTGGTGTTTTATGAATGGCCCGAATTTTGACGTGGCCAAGTTTATTCACGGGGAGATGTTTACTCGTTGTCCGGTGAAGAGGTTGGTTTCTTCTTCCCTTCCCTAGTCACTAGGCTATACCGGGCAGCTCGGGTGCCAGAAAACTTGAGCGTGGATGGAAAAATGTCGAGAGAGGAAAAGTTTCGAGCAGATAAGGTAACTACTGGGAAGGAGCTTGTGGCACCTAGTGGTAATGATAGTGATGACTCGGATGCACCTGGGAAGGGGGAGGATGAGCAGGAGGAAGTGGGAGCCGAATCGCCCACCCATGAGCATGCTGCGGAAGCCGCAGGACCGTCTGGGGTCGGTTGGGTTACTTGGTTAGCAGCCTTAGAGTAGGAGATGGTAGGGATGCGTACCACTGTCGCAGACTTGGGGACTAGAGTTGATGCTTTGGCCACCTAAAATGCAAAATCAGAGAGAAAATCATGGGCTGGCTGCGTGTGTTGGTCGGGCGTGTCACCTTGACCCTGGCACTGTCTCCGACTATGATTGATCTGTTAGGGAAGTTCCTTTACCTCGCATTTATTTATTTTGTATGACATGGGGACATGCCATCTTTTTAAGTGTGTGGTGGGGGATACTTCGTTTGTATGTTGTACACATGTAGGAACATAGCTTGACCTTGGTCTTTAGTTAGTTGTCTAAATATGTGATTCGACTTGGCCCGACGATGGATATCACTCGACCGGTTTCTTGAGGGTCTAAATCGATATAAAAAATAAATAAATTTTTTTTTTGTAGGTAGTGTATCAATTCCCCGTTAGTTTTTCTTTGGACCGCGGTTCTTTTCCAAGGGTTTTGTTTGAACCGGATGTAGTTATTTTTTTGTTATTTTTTTAGGTACTTATGGGCTATGAGGTGAGATAGAAAGAGAATCTCTTAACATTGTTACGCCTTGAATACAATAGACATTTTAGTGTGACGCTTAGTATCAGTTGTTGATTCTTGTTAGAGTGCCTTAAATTGTATATTCTTAACTTGACTTAAGTACTCAGACGAGAGTGTTTTGATAAGCCAATCTGGAGTGAGTCATGTGCCATGTTCTATGTGCGTGTGAGATTATTATATTATGCGCACTGCATTTGATGCCTATAACTTGTCCTGTGTGTTTGCAAAGCGAAATAGTAGTTTTGTTCAGTCTTGGAAGTGATATAGGCGTTTATTTGTTGAACCAAATATGTATATTTTACCCGTCTAATTGTTATGTACCGTAGTTAACCCCTTTGATCCTGTAATCCTATTTCATTGGCAGCCACATTACAAGCCCCGCCCAATTATTTGAATGAATCATTTGTTTGAACCCTTTCACCTCCCGTAAACATGTGAATTGTGATAAACTGGTAAAAGTTAAAGTGTGGGGTGTTTGGTTTGGCTTTTGAGTGGAACTAACAAAATCAGGAGAAAGGTGCACAGTTTTGAATAAGTAAGAGCCACTTGAATGAAAAAAAAAAGAATAAAATAGTTACATTGTTGTGAAAAAAAATAGTCTCCCGTAAACATGTGAATTGTGATAAACTGGTAAAAGTTAAAGTGTGGGGTGTTTGGTTTGGCTTTTGAGTGGAACTAACAAAATCAGGAGAAAGGTGCACGGTTTTGAATAAGTAAGAGCCACTTGAATGAAAAAAA